GTGTTTGAGAGATGAAGCCCTGGAGAGCATCCCTTGGCACAGTCAGGCCCTGAGTGATCCTGTGGTCTGGGTTTCATCAGAGGTGCCAGGGCCTCTGAGGCAGAGCAGGGTGACCATGCTCAGCCCAGCACAGCAGCTGCACACAGCTGGAGTTCCCTCCCTCCTCTTCTTCCCTGTGAGCCTTTTAATTAGCCCAACACCCTCTTAGCTGTTCACCCCCAAGCTCCCAACTCATTAAGGGCCTGATCACCCTCCACACCCCTCCCTCCTCAGCTCACAGAGGGATTTCAGAAAACAAAAGAAGTCACCACCACATTTAGCAGCAGAGAAGGCATCTTTGGTCAAACACTCACAGGAGAAGAAAGAAAGAAAGAACAGCTTAGGTTTGATGCAAAATTGTCACACTTTTTTTTTTTTTAACCATTTTCTGCTATAAAGGAGAATGAGGGATGAACCACCACCTACTGTGAGGAAGATAGAGGTCAACTTGCACCCGAGAGAGAGAGTAGTTCCTACTGCAGTAGTAGCAATAAACAAGAGGGAAGACAAAAGTGTGTACAGAAAACATTTAATAATTCATGCTGCATGTGCTTTGTTTTAAATCTTCCATTCCCTGCCAATTTAGGTGATATCCAAAGAGCTGGTAAGAAATTATAATATCAGGCTAGTTAACCATGCTGGGTTAAGTGCCTGTTTTATTTACACCTCTGCATCCTAATTTAAATTTTTAACAGGGTTGCAGAGATTTAATGAGGCAGATCTTAATCCATACAGTCAGGGTCCAAATAACAGTCCCCTTCAGAGCCTCAACTTCCAGCAAAAACAGTCTTCTTATTCAAAAAAAAAAAAAAAAAAAGGTTCCTTTTACTGTGACACAGCTCAGAAGAAAAATGTAAGGGGGATTTATAAATTTATGTAAATGGCTACAAGCTCTGAAATACTTTCTGAAAAATGGTAACCACTGTCTTTAATTCTGAAGTACAACACAGCTCAGATGACTGGGTGTGAGAAGAACAAGGTGCAGGGGAAGCAGGGGAAAGAGGCAGAGAGTGGAAAAAAGGACTAGGAGAACTTTTTTTACCAGAACTGGCTAAGCTACAGCTTCCTTGGAAGGGTAAACTTGAGTACGCAGGTCAGCAAAGAGTGATAGGAACTGTTAAAACCCAAAGACAAGTGGATATTTCTAAAATCTCATGAAAATGTCGAGGTCACGAAGTCTAAAGCTTCACCCTGGCACTGCTCTGGAACAGCCTTTAGCACAGCAGATGAAGCCAACACAGCCAAGGGTCAGAGAAGAGGTGCCCCATAACTGCAGGATGCTGGATTTCTGATCCCCAGGGCAGTGCCAGCCATGTCCCAGCATCCCTGAGGGGCTTCTCCACAGCCAAATGCTGCATCAGGTGGGGACACACCAGCCAACCAGGCAGACATCTGACACTGTCCTTTCAACCCCTCTATCCTAAAGATCAGTGTTTGGCTGGAGATCAGGAAGAATTTCTTCACTGAAAGGGTGGTCAAGCACTGGAACAGGTTGCCCAAGGAGCTGCTGGAGTGACTGTCCCTGGAGACCTTCAAGAAACAACTGAGTGTGGCCTTTGTGCTCTGGTCTAGTTGACATGGTGATGTTGGGTCAGAGGTCAGGCTCCATGATCTTGGAGGAATTTTCCAGCCTAAACTGTTCTGTGACAGACAAAATAGTTCACAGTGGGCTGTAAATGCACATGAAACTCCAAACTCTGCCAGCTGCCTGTTGAGAGCCAGCCTGATTAACTGGAAACACTCCACATTCAAGAGCTACGTGGTTAAATCTCCTCCTCTGGAGTAACTGAATTTAAGTCTCCTGGATTCAGTTACTGACTGTTCCCAACACCATAAGAGAGGTAGAGCATCTCCTGCTTTTATCAAAGCTCTCTAAGCACCCTCCACACCCAGCAGCCCACCAGACACCTGAACTGTGCAAGAAGCTCACCCCCAGCAGCAGCTTAAACATGTGCCATCCCTGGAAGTGTCTAGGGGAAGGTGTCCCTGCCCATGGCAGGGGGGTTGGAACAAGGTGGTTTTTTAAGGTCCCTTCCAACCCAAGCCATTCTGTGATTCCAGGATTCTTTGCTGTCAGGCAGGGTGGTGGCTCACAAGAGCACCAAACCTGTCCTTGTCTGTCAGTGCAGACTGACAGACCCACCCTCAGCAACAGGCCCCACAGTGGTGCTGTGATCCCAGCTGTGATGGGTGAGTGATCCATCACCCTTGGCAACCGCCTAGTTTAGGTTAACTGCTGGTTTAAGGTTAGCACTCAAGGATAACAAGGCCCTCAAGGCTGTCATGGAGAATGTGTTAACCAACCTGCTGAGCCTCAGCTCATCCCTGGGTCACATCCCAGCTGGAACAGTTACAGGAGCTACTTGAGCACCAGCTGAAAGGAGCCAGATTCTGTTGTGCTCTACCCACAAGGTTTCAACTAAAAACTGCAAGGATGTTGCAGAAGAGGGAACATGGCAGGTGACCCACCTCTTCAGAGAGTTATACCTGCCCAGTGCTGCCATGCTGAGGGTGTGCAGCCACCTCTGCCAACACCTACAGCAGAGGAATCAAGTCCAAAAGGAATGTAATTTCTTTCTGAAGTGTGTTGAGAAGTTTACACGCTGGTCTTAAGTAGGCAAGTTGAACCAGAGAAAGCTGCAGTGCTCAACTTGTTAGAGAGACATACAAATTCTAGGCACAGAAACAAAATATATAATCAGTTCTCCCAGACAAGTAAAGCCTTATCCTCTGCTGTGTCCTGTCCCCATATCCTGTAATCCCTTTATAGGATTTCTCTGACTAGGAAGGGCAAGTAGAACCAGTCTCACCACAGAGTCAAGGCAGGAGGATGTTTGTTAACCAGCTCATCTCCCCAGAGTCCACTGGAGAGGAGAATAAGTTCATCTAGACATATTTTCAAAGCATCTCAACCTGCCTGTGCAATTTGATTTTTAAAACAATTTTGCATCCAAGCCAGGCAGGTGAATATTCCAATGCAATTAAACCACAGGCAGTTTGGCACAGATGGTCCCCAAGAAACAGAGCAGCAGGGGGTTACATTTAATGATGAGCCAGGCCCTCAGTGAGGCAACTCAGCAAGACCCCACTGAAGGCAGCAGAGCTCACTCAGCTCCTTGCACTTCTTCCAACAGTGAGCAAGGCACAGCCTCTCCCAAGAGGGCCAAGATCCCTCATTAGGGACCCAAGCACATGCCTGGAACAGCATCCCCCAAAAGCCTGAGCACCTTGGGCTGGAGCTCAGTGCAGCTTTACAGGAATGCACTCCCAAACATCTTGGATCTGGCAGCATTTGGATATTCTGAGGGCAAACACTATGAACTATAATTTTGGGAACCATGCTTCCAAATGCCACTCCACCATGAGGATGTGGCACCCCCTCACTGCCATTATACAAAGAGGTGTTAGAAAGCAAAGTTGCAGCTCAAAAAAAAAAAAAAAAAGGCCTCCTCTTCATGCTTAATGGGGGCAGCAGGATCCCCAGGCAGAAAAAGCTTTTCCCCAAGTGGTAATTGTTCCATTTTAAAGGATGTGGATTGGTGATCCCCAGCACCAGGGAAAATTCTGGCTCACTGCACCAAGGTCTAGGTTGAGCAGAAGAGATTTAGACCACAAAAGCTGTGCCAGCTGCCAAATCCCCACAGCACAGAGAGCACCATGTCCCTTGGCTGACAGGCCCCTGCAGAGCCAGACCCCAGAGCCAAGAAACCCACAGCCTTCCAACTGAATCATCATCTAGGAGAGTTGGTTCCAGCTACAGCCCACATTTGCCTTTAGAGGAACCCAGAAGGAATCCAAGAAAGTTGCATCAGTCCTATATTGGAGCAGAAAGATTTTTTTTAAATGCCTGTGCAGAAAGTCTCATTAAATAGAGAGAGACCAATGCTCAGCTGAAGCAGAAATCCCTCTTATCTTCCCCTGCAGAAACCCAGGCTTCTAAAGGAGATCCCAGAGGGCTATAAAACATTTTAGCCTCCTGATTCATGCTGCCCTTGCTAAGCAGAGCCTGAAAGATCAGGTTTTCCCCACACACACCCCCTTCCTTCCCCTGCTGCCACTCTCCCATCAGCACCACATCCTTGCCTTGCCAGATACATGCAAGATTCATCCTGGCAAGGGAAAAGTGCTGCAGTTGGAGTCACAGAAAGCTCAGGGCAGGATTCAAAGTAGGCAGCAAGTGCCTTGCAAAGGCAATGGGGAGGACTACCAGCTTCTGCTGCCCTCCAAACTTAACAGGAGTGAGAGTTATTGCTTCCTGCAGAGGAAAGATGCTGATGAACTGTTGTCTATGGCACCCCACCTCTACTCAGAGGAGAAATACCATCTGGCAGTACCACCCCTGGAGGGCTGCCAACCTTTGCAGTAAAATACGAAGGCAAGAGAAGGTCAAGATAAAGGAAGGGGAGCAGACACAGGCAGAAAGATTAATTCCTGCCAGGTGGTATCAGTCCAGACACTGGAGTACAAAACTGGATGGATGAGCAAGCAGAGAGGAGTTCAAGTAGGAGAAAGAGCAAGAAACAATTCTCTGCAGGAAAACTGTGGGTGAGCTGAACTGGTACCAGATCAGAGCTGCAGAGCAGCTCCAGAGCAGCACCTACTTCACCTCAGCATCTCTGGGTGGGTGTTACCTGGTCCAGAGGCTCTGCAGTGGATGCACACTCCAGCATTACAGGCGTGCAGAGCCAGATTCTACTGCAATAGCAATAGCACTGCTGCTCCCTATCCAAGGGAAAATCCCATCCCTCCCACCACAGCCACTGGAATTCCAGGCATCCTCCATGACACTGCTCACTGCTTGCTTCCTGCGCCTCCCGGGGGAGGACAGGTTGTTCAACAACTTTATTGGGCACAATTAGACATGCACATGGCAGTGTGTCAAGCAGACAAACTGGGGGCTCAGTGTCAGGGCAGGGGAGCCCCTGCACAGGCAGCTGCCTGACCCTTTTCCTCAGGGGTACCTTCCGACTCCAGGCGGTCCAGCCCGTAGGTCACGGCCGTGCTGATCCTCCGTGCAGAGGGAAGGGCTGTTCTCCTGGCAGAGGAGGCCATGGATGCTGGAGTGACCAGGACCACAGTTCTGCTGGATGGTTCCTCTGTCTGTCCAGATGGGGTAGAAGGCATCCCACCAGGAGCTGGGACAGCCTTCTCACTGGTGACCACGATCTCACCCGTGAGATCTACAGAGGACAGGAGACAGCAGCAATATTTAAAAACCTACCATTTAGGAACAAACTCCTCAATGAAAACTTAACTCTGACTGGAAGTTATTAAGCTTGTGCTTCCTTCAAGATGTGACTCTGCTGTAATGAAACTTTCTCCTCAAGGACAGTCAGCACAGGAGGTTCCCCTTAATGAGGGAGGGAACCCCCAAAGAAAGTTTTAATTCCGCTGCTTTGAGGACACCAGTTGATATCTCAACCAAGTGACAGATCTAATTGTTTATTGCAAAGATAAAAGTCAGTTGAATCTATAATTAAACCCCAGAAGCAAATTAATTAGTGGAAACTGCCAGAAGAACCTTCTCCCTCCCACAAAGGGACCTTAAATTAAGAGATACAATGCAGAAAGGTTTTGTTGGTTTTTTTTGTTTTGGGTTTTTTTTTCCTTTCGAGGCCCTGCAATATAAGAGCTGCCCAGTAGCAGTTTCATTACAGTGGTTCCTACTGCTACAGAAGCACACTCCAGCCTGGAGCCAGCCTTGTGCTGAGGGATCCCTTGTTACACCCCTGTCAGGAAGACAGGCTCCTCCATGTACCTGCTGAGGTGACACAGAGCCAGCAGGCAGCAGCCTGATGAACACGACTGCCCAAAGCATTCCTGTATGAGCTACAACTTGACAAGAACTCACCACTCCTCAGCAGAAGGGAATATCAATGCAGGCTTCCCCACCCAAGGGCTTGCCAGACTCCAAGAAGAAGGTGTCTTTCCCCCCACACACACTGCTCCTGTGTTACCCCAATGAAACATTTTCATCCTTTGGACTGAGCACCAGCAGTCTGTGACTGCCTTGGGCTCCAGGAGTAAGAGCTCCCCCTCCATAAATAAAAAATGGCTTAAGTGTCTAAAGCTAAAAGGTAGCTTGCTAGCAAGGATAGACAGGGTTTTGTATGGTTAGGGGCAATTTTTTTTAATTGCCTCCACTTATTTGGGGCAAAAAAACCCCATACTGGCAAATATCAAAGTGGTGGATCTCACAGCATGGGCAGAAAGCAGTGGCAGCCCAGGGCTAGAGGAGGCCTGCAGAAGGTTAGAGTAAAAAAAAAGTCACTTAGAATAAGGATGCTGATACTAGTTTCAGATGTCCCATCCCACGTCATGTGGAAATGAGTCCTTGAAGCAGAATCTTACCTTCAACATCCAGAGTGTTCACCGCAGAGGAAGCACCAGTTGCCACCAGCACCTCGGTGGCACTGGGAGCAGTCAGCATCTGGGTGTCTTCCCCACTGTTCTCCTGGGGAAAGCTTGCAGCTCCTGTTCCCTGGGTAGCACCAGGCACCACTGCCACAACTGACAGACCAGCATCAGCCTCCTGGGCAACTGTTGTCACCTCCTGAGCAACACCTACAGCGAGAACACGTGTCAGGACCAACTCACAGGACACGTGACGGCAACAGAGGACACATCTGAAGGAATATAACTCAATGATTAACAATTCCAGGGCCACAGTGCCAGAAGCAGGTCCAGCCAAGTCTCATCAGGGTGGCTTTGAGTGACCAGCCCTCACAGCTCTGAGACTTGAGCTTTGCAGAAGCGTTTATTTTTGTTGCACCAGTCTTATTGACAGACAGTGTTGTTTTCCCGTCATCTGGGAAGCAGCAGAGATGGAACCTGCTGACAGGTCAAGTGCTTACAAATTAATCTAGAAATTAATCAGTCAGGTTTCAGCACCAGGCTGCAATTAGCCTCTCTTCTTTTACAGCAAAAACTAGGTCTTTTGGATGCAGTAAAGGGAAACAGTCCTTCTGCCTCTGTAGCCTGGGAGGGAAGATTAAAGATGCCCAGCAATTACAAAGTCCTAAGCCCCAGCTCATGTTCCCTCATCAGCCTAGAAAGATCTGACTGCCCAACACCTCACCGGGCTTTTTTTTTTTTTTTAGCATTTCCCTGTATTTTAAACCTTTTCCTTTATATTTTAGGTGTTGAGCAGAAACACTGCCACGAGGCTGAAGGTGCCACCTCTGCAGGTCCATGCAGGACAGGGTGGCCTGCAGAAGGCTGTCCAGGAGGAAGATTCCTGCCTGGTGACAGAGTTGGCACAAGCACTGGGCAGCGAGAGCCTGGCCACAGCTTCACTCCAGGGTAGGGAGACAACACCAGGAGCTTCTGTTACACAGGACAGCAGCTCTCTGGACAGGCCTTTAGAACTGAGTGTTCTTGTAAAGTCATTTAAGATGTCAGGTACTCTGAGGCTACTGGAACAACTCACTTATTCCTATCATTTAGGAAGCATTTACAGCTATCCATTGTCTCTGCATCTTCTGCACTGACTGCAAGTGAGACCCAAGTGATCCCAGATGCTACTTAATTTAACCCCCCAGGAATTATTTGCAGAGCTTCAGCGTGAGCTAGTGCAGGGGTACTTTGGTTCTTATCAAAAGGATTCCTGGGGGAGTGTTTTCTCCCCTGAAATAAAGTGCTTAACCAGTGGGCCAGAGGCTGGGGTCCCACCCTACCCACAGAAGGGGCAGAAACAGAGGGTTATTGAGTGACAATTTACCCAGCTCTAGTCAAGGCAAGATGCCTACAACCAGACTACAGCTGTCCCCACTCAAGCACCAAAACCAAAGAACATTAACAAGGAAGTTTTTCAATCAGGAAGTCTCCACTGATGAGATTCCAGCTCTGCAGTCCATACCCAAATATTCCATGTCCCTCAGCCCCAGGCTCAGCTGCCACAGCCTTTCCAGTCTCAGCTTTCCTATTTGTTCCTACAACCACCCTCCCAGCTTGAGGAGCAGAAGGAGCAGCTCAACTCAGCTGCTTCACTCACAGCCAGGACAGGGGATCACCCAACTGTGCACAGGGAATCATATACAGAAACAGCCGAGGTTCTGCAGTGTATTATGGATAGGAACTACCCATTTAGGCTCTTACCCCTACACAAAGCCCCACAGCCTTTCCTGAGGGGAAAGATACACCCTCTCTATTGCAGGTATCAAGGTCACACCTTTTCCCAGTCCAATTCCCTGAAAGGAAGCATAGACTCCCAAGAGCCCCCCTCCTAAACCTACACTTAGAGGCAAGCGTCTGTAACAAGCAAGTTTTACCTTCCCATGAACTTTCCAGAGTAGGGGAGAGCTCAGGCTGAGTCTCTGCCCCCACAGCAGCCTCTGACTGTGATGGCAGAATGCTTTTCTCCTCCTCTGCTGTGACTGCACTTGTGTTTTCCAGCGAGTCCAGATCAGCCATGTCTCCATACGTCACATTCCCAGCGTGGGAAGTACCACTGCTGCCTGTGGAAGTTGCTGGCAGTTCCTCTCCTTGTGCTGGCACTGTGCAGTTGGTCTCCTCAGCAAGCTCAGGCTCTGGTGGAGGGGATGGCAGTGCTCTTGTTGCATCCTCTTCTTCTCCCACACCTCCCTGTGGGGTCTGGGATGGTTTTGTCGTCGCCAGGTCCTCTGTCACCTCCTCATGAGACGTGCTTCCCCCTTGACTGATGTCCCCCAGCTTTGTGTCATCCCAGTCAGGTGGCACAGTGTCCGCAGGGTGGATGGTGACAGTGCCAGCTGTGGTGGGCAGCTCTCCTGGTGTGACCCCTGTCCCTGCTTCTGGGGGAAGGGAGGCCTCGGTCACCACGAGGGGACGTTTGGCAGCCACAGACACTGGTGGAACCAGGGATTTCAGAGGGCTCCCTGTGCGGGGTCTCAGCATTCCCACCTCAGGGGTCACACCAGGAGCCTGGGGGGTTGGGATAACAAGGTGGTCACTCGCTGTTTCCCAGCTGGGAGAGCTGGGGCTCAGCGTGGGCTGGGGCACAGCTGAGGGGTGTGAGCTGCTCTCTGCCCCCTCCTGCTCCTCCACAGTTGTCCCAGGAAGGGAGGGGTTTGCTGAGGGGCTGGCAGAGCTGTGCTCTACTGCCACACCACCCTCTGTGGTGACCTCGCTGATGGGGCCACCCACAGACTCCTCCTGGCCAGGGGGGCTCAGCGTGGTCACAGCTGTGGTCAGCATGGCCTTGAGGGCATCATCCTCATCCAGCTCTGACTCCATGGGACCAAGCTCCTCCCCACTCACAGCAGCCACTGCCCCAGCAGAGGTGTGGTCACCCAGGCCTTGGGTGCTGGGGCTGACATGGCTGGGGCTCACAGGGAGCATTTCTTCTGCAGTGGAAGCTTCATGCAAGGGTGTCCCAGACGGCTCTGCTGACACTCCACATGGCTCTTCAGAAACTGTCTGCTCAGAAGGGCCCAAGGTATTTTTCAAGTCCACCATGCCAATCCTTTCATCTTCCAGCCCATTCCCTGCCCAGGGGCCATGCTGGATCTTGGTCGTGTCCCCCTCCTCCAGAGGCTGAGATACAAGGCATGGCAGGCTGGAGGACAAGAGCAGGATGCTGCAGGTGACCACAAAGATGTTAAATCCTACTGATCTCCCCATGGCCGAGAAGAGATGTGACCAGAAGCCTGCAAGGCTGACAAATCCAGAGTGCAAGGCCTGGAAAGGCAAAAGGAAACCAAGATTACATATACTCACATAACCACCCACTGACCCAGGGCCTTAAATAACTGGGTGACAAGTGTCAAGAATTGGCCAGTTGTGAGCAGACACCTCCTATATATCCCAAGCAATTAGTTCCTGCATCTGTTTTATGGTTCTTAGTCTACTCTATCTGAAGATGACAGGCAAAACCAAATCTTGATCTGAAGCCCAAGACAGACCTTGCCTAGCTCTCATCCCAGCAATAGAGTGCTATGCTCCACCCAGCAGGCATCAGACTTGTAAGCAATGGTGAGGATCAACTTGTGTGTCCTTTTGCAAGTCCAAAAATTATGTTTGTCAGGGCCATGAAGTCCAGGCTTGTTATGGCCCTGACACAGGAGGAAACCAAGGAACTTGCACAGAGAACAAGATGGGTCTCTAAAGCACAACTCAGGACTGGAGCCACCACAAGAGGCTTTAGGGCTGCACCAGTGCCAGGTCCTGTCTGAGGCCCTTGACCCCACAGAGGAAACCACAGCCCAGAACAGCAGCACTGCTGCATTAGCACAGTGCCTGTGCTGCACTGCACCATGGAGGCACTTCCAGAAAGTTTCATGTCTCTAATCACTGTGCAAGTCAAGAGTTTCCAGGAGAGAACTGAACCAGGATCCCAGCAGTGATCCAGCCAGCTGACAGCCTGCTCTTGGCAGGCTCTGCTGCCTCCACTCACACAGCTCCAGCAGCAGGACAGACAGACCGGGCCTGCTCCCAGACACCTCCCTCAGGCAGGTGCCCCTCAGTCCTGGGCTTGCTGCACCACCACCCCACAGCAGAGACCATCCCAGCCATGGTCCCACTCATCCCATACAGGACAGCTGGTCACACCAGTCTCAGGCACACAGCAGGAAACCCTCCATCACACAGCAGAGCTGGTGTGGTCCCTCCTCCTCCTTCCAGCTCCTGGAGGCAGCTTGCCAATAGTAAAGCCCTACTGCAAGAAGCCTCCAACCATCAACAGCTTCCCTTGCTTTCTCTAGTACATTCTTCCAGTCCTGCATCCAAATCTGGGGGCCCCAACATGAGGAACTTTGACCTGTTAGAATGAGCCCAGAGAAGAGTCACTTAGATGATCACAGAGCTGGAGCACCTCTCCTATGGAGACAGGCTGAGAAAGTTGGGGCTGTAGAAGAGAAGGTTCTGGGGAAACCTTAGAGCACCTTCTGGTGCCTAAAGGGGCTGCTGGAGAGGGACTTTGGACAAGGGGGAATGACCTTAAACTGAAGGAGGGCAGGTTTAGATGAAACATTAGAAATAAGTCCTTGCCTGTGAGGGGAGGGTGGTGAGGCCCTGGCACAGGTTGCCCAGAGAAGCTGTGGCTGCCCCATCCCTGGAGTGTTCAAGGCCAGGCTGGACAGGGCTTGGAGCAACCTGGGATAGTGGAAGGTGTCCCTGCCCATGGAATAAGATGATTTTATAACTCACAAGTGAGCTGCAGGAATAAACAAATATTATTCGGGAAAGTTGCTGGGGTTGTCAGTCGCCTCTCAGCCTTCCAAAGAAGAGCAAACATTACCCTGTGCAGTCCTGCTCAAGGGCACCAGGATGGGTCCCCCAGCTTGCCACACTCCTCACTTCCCCCTCCAAACAGACTGTAGACAAGTATCACTTGCATTTGCACACACAGAGTGCAGCAACACAGCTCAGAGTCAACCACTGCAGGCTCCAGCATCTGGCTGAGCCCTCAGGGCATACTGAGTCACTTTTTCCACTCTCCCTGCAGCCCTGGCCCAGCATTTTGAGCTGCTGGACTAATTCTCCATCACAGGCCACACACATGCACCAGGTGCTCAGGGACAAGCAGAAGTCACCAAAAGCTGTTTACCAGCGCAGACACCTTCCACTTTATTTTTAGCATCTTCTTCCTCTGAAAGATGGGTGGCCACCCATCTACGTCCTCTATCCTTCCTGCCAAAAATAGTTGAAAACTGACAATATTTACCTCTTCTTTCACACTAATTCTTTATAGATTTTGTAATTAAAAAGCACTAAGGGTATATTACGCAAGTTAAACTGTTAGGGCCCAACTACAGGCATCTGCCTTGCCATGCTGTTGAATATAAATCATGTTCACCTCACAGCTCTTTAGCAAATGCCTGTTAAGATCAGACATATTGAAACATCAAGAAGTTGGGGGTTTTTTCTATTTCAAAGAGAGTTTGGCCCTAAATACAGTTTCTCGAGAAGTCAGGAGTCTTTAGGCTGCACAAATGCTTTCAGCAGTGGTTAAACCTAAACAGAACTCCAGCTGCACTTGAAAAACAGCCACAGCATTTCTCTTGCAGTCACACACGTTATGCATATGTATATACACATCTGTATAGATAATTAGTAGGTTTGCAGCTCCAGGTTTTCCAACAGCCCAAGACATTCAGGAGGTGGTTAGCAGAAGAACTAAAACGTTAATCTCTTTTCAACAAGCTCACTCCATCTTTACTAGAATCAGAAGTGTCAGTGGATAAGAGGGAAAGCTGCTCCCTAAACCACTGGCTTTTAGACATCCATTAATTAAAATGTAAAGAGCCCTGTTAAGAGCCGTTCCTCCTTCTGGCTAGTAGATATGTGGGCAGTCAGTACCAGCCTGATACAATAATTCCTGCAGTCCTTTAGACAGCCTCATATTATTTCTCTCAGTCTGAAAAGCACTTTTGGCCATAATCCCACATTTCTACGGGGAAAAAAAAATAATATTGGAGAGTTATTTGCTCAGGAAATCCACAACAAGTGGATCTAAGCTAACCTAAACCTTTACATTCAGCGAAAGCAGGAGCTTGCTGCAGGATAATGGCACAGGTTCACACTTCAAAGAAGATTAGTCAGAGCTTAAGATCTACTTAGCTTTAGGAAGAGGCTGGATTAGGCAGTGTATGAACAGCAGTGACCTGGCTATCTCCTTAAGCAGAGTTTGACACCTTGCTGCAGCACTTCCACTCAATGCAGGCTCCAGCAGGTATCTGGCTGCAGAGCACTTTGTTACTCAAGCATCATTGAGTTATACATTTATCCTCCCATCTGGCTATTTTTATAGTCAGCCTCCTCTCCAGCCTTAGCCAAGCACTAAAAGCAGGCTGGAGCACACTGCCCTGACCGAGCACCCCCTCTGTACTAAGCTCAAACTTTTTTGTTACCAGCCTGGAGCTGGTAACTCAATATTTCATGCCCCAGGAACTCCTTGTCCCCAGATTTCACCTGGCATCCCACAAGCAGAAGCCCTGGAGGGCAGCTGCCAAGCTCTCGGTGGAAAAACTAATCCTTGCTTCCAATAGGAAGCACACACTGAGGGCGAGAGGCAGTGCCAGCTACTTCCCCTGCACTTAATAACAACAAATCCCAGGAGATGCAGTTCCCCCAGCTGCAAAGGCAGCACGACTGCAGGCAGCCAGGGAGCTTTATCTTTAGCAGGGAAAATAATAAGTTTTCTTTTAACACCTGGTAGGCTGGAAAGAAACACAAAGGACTACCAGGCTGGAAACAGGGGCCAAAATTCCATCAGAAACGAAATAAGAACTATTTACTACTGTGGGCAAGTCAGGAAGCTGAGGGACAATAAATATAAATTGGTCACCAGCTGAAGCAGCCCTGCACACTCAGTTGGATCTTTCTGAACCAGGCTGCTTCCCTGCTTCACACAATTAGCACTTGCACTACCTATTAAATCATTAACCCCTCTGTGAATTCTAGAGACTTGTCCGAGGTCAGCTCTTGGGGAGCCACACAAAAGCCAGCTCAGAAGGAACCCCCAGCCTGTTATGGTCACTCCAACAGCACAGGTTTGCAGGGGACCAGCACAGAGCAGATCTCTCTCCTTCAATACCTGCTCCTTGCATGGACCAGTGGTTTGTAGGCACACACTACAGAGGATTAAACTCTCCCCCTCTGTCCCAGTTGTGTGTAGCTACTCACTCAGAGGGCTTTTCAGACTTTCACCCTGTCAAGTCTACTTAACTAAACCCCCCCCAAAAAAAAAAAAAATTTGCTATTATTTTCTGCCTTTGGTAAGTTTTGTCTGTGTTTTCCTCTGAATTGTTGAAACAGAAGGAAAACAAACAAACAAAAAAGCCTCAAGTTTTTAACTGACTGAATTATAGCCCTGTTCCAGCAATCCCTTTCCCACACTGGGAAGGTGAAGTGGCTGCATGCATCATAAAGCAGAGTGCAGGAGATGAACAGGTCAGCCCCAGACAAATCCCTGTCTTGCCTTGGAACAGAGCTTCTCACGCCTCCAAACACGAGCTCAGTGCCAGCTCTGCCTGGGTGTGCTCAGCTCCACAATTCACCTGACAATCGACAAGGGAACCGGACAAAAAAAAAAAACCACCACAGATCTTTTCATGTGAAGATTTAGCAAAAACGTACAACTCCAGCAACTGCCAGCCACCAATGCTACATTACACAGTGCTAATGTATGCAACCCGAGCCTCATTACTTGTGCTGAATACGAAAGCCAGCAGATAATACACTGCAGAGCTCCAACTCCTACTTTCGCACAAAAGCCCAGAAAAATGCCTTGATTTCATCCTGCATTGTGTCCCTGCCCAGTTCAACCGAGTGAATTGGGAGAGCTGATGCCCTCGCAGCACATACTTTAGATAAACAGACTCCACCAAATAAGGCACCTCCAAGAGCTCAGCGAAATCCCAACAGTGACACAACTCAACACCAACACAAAGTCAGGTGAGAAAAATTATGTCAAGACAAGCACACATCAGAGGGGCACATCCTCCCCTACCCTTGAGGGCTGATCCTTACAAGCAAACAAATGAGATATTAATATTCTGTGAGACCAGCTTCCCACCAGTCCTAGTGAGGCACCTTAATACATAATACATCACCTCCACTTCCAGCCTCGGCATTCCAGCAGTAGTTCTTTGTGGAGCCAGAGACATGACATGTTTTAGGCATTATTCCCCCAACCGCGGAGCCGATCCCTCGCTTTGTTCAGAGCAGCACACAGACCACCTATGGAAATCCCTCCTCGGATTTGTAAGTAAAAAGCTGCATAGTTCTCCGTGCCTTCTGACCCGTGCCAGGTCCCCGGCACCACAGAAGTCGAAGGTCTACCAAATTCCTGAGGGATTAAGACCGGGAGGAGGAAGGGGGGCTTAAGAATGAGGCCAAAGGGTGCAGCGATTTTCAAGCAGCAGGATAGAAACGCTGCTCTCCAGCCGGCCTGGGAGCAGAGGGATAACACTCAGATTCCAATCAGCAAGAAACACTCCGGAATTTCAGTGCCTCACCTAAACAGAGAGAGCAACACCTCACAGGAGAGCTGGAGGCTCATGAATCTCTGCAGGTAAAGATTTAAGAGCAGATTAGATACACCTTGTCAGGCCCTTTTAGCTTGGGTAGGACCTGCGTGGGATCCAGGGAGTGGGATCAGGGCTAGCTCAAGGCTCCATGACACCCAGCACGCCTGCTTGCGGGGCACAGATCCATCTCCCCGTCCTCCTCAGTCACATCTCCAGCTGAGTTTACAGCCCCAGAAACGCATCCTTTCCCTACACAGCAAGAGATCCAGGGGGGAACAACCTCCCCGGGATCCCTCCAGCCCAGGCCCGCAGCAGGACGGAGGGACAGCAGCGGTCACCCCTAAACCACCCCAGGGAAAAACCACACACACCCAAGCCCACAAAGATTTTCCGAGGGAGCCCACCGGGACCCCCATCCCGGTAGGACACCGCCACCCCCCCGCTCCCCTTTTTTCCCCCCCTATTCCCATCCCCCGGGCTGCAGGGACCAGCCGCTCGCCGGGAACAAAGAGCCGCGCCGAGGATGCGCTGCCCCGCGGGCAGCCGAGCATCGCCCGGGAAACAATAAAAACCAATTAAAAAAAAAACAAAAACGAGCGAACGCGGGCGAAAGCCGCCCCGGGGGTGGGATGCTGGTTGCGTTCGGGGGGGTGTGCGTGCGTGTCCCGGCCTCACCTGGGTCCCGGCGGTTCCCGGCGCCGCTGCCCAGCCCCGCGGCCGCACGGGCGGCGCAGCCCGGCCCACCCGGCGGGCGGGTCGGGGGCTGTGCCGGGCTGGCCGCCCCGCCCGACCGCCGGCCCCCGCCTGCCCACGGTGGGCTCCGTGCTCCCCACGGCCCGCAGCACCCGGGGGAGCCGCCCGCAGCCCGCTTTTACGGTTACTTTTTCCACTGACTTTGGAGCATCCAAGCCCTCAGCCCATCCCCCCCTCCACCCCGCATCCAACTCTTCCTCGCAGCCTGACCCGGCGGGTTCCCCCCTCTCTTTGCTTGCGAGGAGCTGTGAAAACAAGGCCTGCAGCACCCTTAGTAGTTTTCCATCTATTAGAGATTCTCCTCCAGTGTTTTCGGCTGCAGAGGTCACCTTCCCCCAACACTCCCTCTGCACAGGAGAAAGTCTTCTTAAATAACATCCCACACATGAATTAGGAGAGCTTAATTCAGTTATTCAGTTTCCTTTTTTTTTTTGTTGCTTTGTTCTAAGCACCAAGGAGAAAGAAAAGTAAACAATTTTACTAGTGTTTTCCTCCTCCCAGCTGTGTTTGTCCCCAGCCAGAAACCCTCTAACAACAGGAAAAGAAAACCTTTACACCATCAGGTCCTGGCTCACACATCAACTCACTTTGTCAAAGAGCAGCTCAGCAATTCATACCTTGACTCCAAAAATCACAAAAATAGACCAGCTAAGCTTCCTCTTGCTTCCCCCAAGCCTGATGTCAGAGGCACCACAAGGTCTGAGCACCACACACAGGGTTTTATAGGGCAGTGACTCATTCAGAGCAGAGCTGCAGCAGGTGCAAAGCGTTTGTGGTGGGCAGGGACAGGTGAGAAGAGACCAAAAATAACAACCTTTCATTAAGGTGAGATTTTGGGGGTGGAATTGCTCAAAGGGAATAGAAGAAAGGTATAGGAGAGGTGACTCGAAATCTTGGCTTTGTTATGAACGTGCTCTGCCACAGGAAGCAAATCAGTGAATCCTCCAGTTAAAATAAAACGCTACAAAATAAACTGCCTTTTTTTTTCCCCCCCCAGACAAAGGGAGATGTAACCTGCTGGTACGTGTCACTCAGCTCTTTAAACAAACAACATAATTGATCAAAGAAAATGAGATATTCCTCCTCAGGAAATTGTTCATTATTTTTTCTGTTTGCTCTGCTACTAGAAACAACATTTTATATTAGTGGTTTGCTCTCTGTGCTAAACACACTCCAAGGTTTTACCTCTTCAATTTTAGAGAAACGGTGTGTTTTCTGCTGGATTTCAACCAAACTGGATCCAGCCCAATTCATTTGATTGTAGCATTGTGCTTCCAATATTAAAAGTTTCAAAAGACAGATTTGTTGCGGGTCAGGGCAGTTTTTTTCCGGGTAATATTGCTAAGCTCTGCATGAGATGAAAATAAAGTGTCAAAGTGCCTGTATCAGCAGTAAAGACAATCACTGGCAAAAGGCATAAGAACTTCAGAGTTAGGTTTGATGGAGCAAATAGTCAGAAAAAATGTTGGGAAAAGTCACTTCTGGCTTTGCCTCTATGAGTTGTAAAATCTGAGGAAATTATTCATTAATCAATATTTTTAGTGCTGCACCAGCTTTTGAAATGAAATACAAATATGTGAAAAGAAAGGATGTTTACTCTCTCCTCTAAGGGAGACGGTGCAGGGGGGAAGGAAGAACTAAGAGCTGCATTTTTGGGGCCATTTTGAACACCCTTGACTCCTGAATTAGGGACCCTTAAAACTCTCAGCAGGTTCAGCTTCTGTTCTGGCCGTTTCATTTTGGCCAAGGGCTCTGGCTGAGCAGAGGAAATGGAGGTGCCACTTCTGAAGTTAATGGTGCAGCCAGATTGTGCAGGAAACCAAAATCAATGAGGGCTTATTTTCTATGCAGCTGGATGTTGTGGCGAGTCAGGGATTGATTCCCAAGCTGCTCAGTCATCCCATGTGCAAGGAGAGGGGCAGGATAACAGGGACATCTCCCACCAGAAACCAGAGCCCTGGGCAGTGAGTCCACCAGGCTCGAGCCAGAGGCTTGGCTCCAGCAGCTCCACCATTCACCCCAAACAGCTGACCTGGCATCCACATTTTCTAGTGGAAGACGTCCCTGCCCATGGCAGGGGGTTTGGAATGAAATGATCTCTAAGGTCCCCTCCAAGCCAAACCAGTCCATGATTCCATGATACTGTTTTCAACCCCTTTTCTATCTAACCTTTAAAATTAACAGAAAAGTTATTTAAAATGTAAAGCATGTGTAAGGGATGCTCTACTGTTCTCTAAGGGTGCAGAGCACTTAAAAGACTGGAGAGGTTTTCACTTCCCCCTTGACTCTGAACCCAGATGGGCATCGTGTCTTCTCAAGGTTATATATCTCACTGATAATCACTGTAACCAAAATAGCTGGTTATCTGTGTTTTTTCCCCTGCCTAAAATTGCATATTCCCCGTACGCTGCAAGTTTCCCTACCCCGCATAACCTGCCAAAATCAGAGGCTTCTGCGTTATCAACAAAAATATCTGCAGACTTAAAAAAGGAGGTGTGATGGAAGAAGCAGAAATCAGAAATTGCCAGGGAGCACTCTTTTGTTATTCATTTCTATGGTTTAGTAATTGGAAATACTGATTTTTAACTCAGATCTGTGGCCAGAGAGCATATAAGTAACCAAGCAAAACTGGCCCACGGCAAGTTAAGAAACATCCACTCCTTTCCCTTCTTACCCTGGCTCTGATTTGAGATATTTCTGTGCAATCCTCTGTTGGTCTTGTCCTTCAAGATCTCTCACCTCAGGTGAATTCAGAGACTAAATTCGGATGGTTTATTCTTCCATGCGGGTAGTGTAGCTGGGAAAGAGTCGGAATCATGTCCCATTCCAAGCTCTGCCTCATTAGAAGACTTTCAAAACTGAGATTCACCACTCTCTGCCTCTACTTCCCCTTCTGTAAAATGGAAATAACCCAATTTTTGTAAGATTCCCTTCTAAAATCTGTGTATTATTATAACAGGAGACTGTTGTGCAAAGTAATAATACATCAGCTTTCCTTTAAAGGTGATATTCCTGTCACACCCTTACTGCACAAACCAAAAAGTTTGTCCTAATTAAGAGACTGGGTCACATAAAAGTTTATATGAAGGCACATTTTGTCTGTATAAATTTAACTAAACAATCATCCTGACATCAGAATGTTGCACCTTATGCTGCTACTCCTGGCACCTGTGCTGAGATGTCTCAGCTCTCCTAAGTATGTCAGGACATGCCACAGAAGGTACAGGCAATTTTAAAATAGTTACCGTTAATTTTGCTGCTGGATAACTTTCCCAAAGTGAATATTTGGGACATCCAGCACACAAATCAGTGCACATCCCCATCACACCATTCACCTTTACACCAGCTGGTAGCATCTGTTTTAAGGGGCCTGCTCTTCCCACTGAAGAGCAGTCACTGCAATGGAGTAGCATTGAGGCTAATTCAGGGGAAGTGAGAGCAGCACCGAGAGGAAAATTTGTTCAAAACAAGTCCACTTTGAAAAAGGTATCAGGGAGTTTGTGGCCAATGACTTATTTCAAATATAATCATGTTACGGATGAACAGATTTCTTTTTCCTGCAACTGCAAACTCAATAAATTCCATCTACAATTAAATCTCAATCAGGAGAATCAACCTGGATTCCTTTCTTCCAAGTTCCTCACTGCTAGCACTAAGAGGAAAGCTGGGCAAGGCCAAGAGATGCCAGTACAGCCTCACTGTTGCCAGGGATTCACAGTAATCAGTCCTACAAGGGGGCACGGGATCCAGCTTCTGCTTCCCCAGCTCTCGTGATTCTGAAGTGCCCACAGAGCAGGAAAGCAGTAAAAACTTATTTTTGTCACTAAAGTCAGCAGATGTGGCTTGGAGAGCACACAGAGACCAGATCTGCTGAGTAGGAAATGCCATTTTTACACATTTGCTCTCCAGGGTAGAGCCAGGCTCCTGCTGACTGCTCCAAGGTCACCGGAATCACTTGCAGTTGCTCTGGGAATACAGCCCAGGAGGACCAGTGCTCACCTCCAAAACTGAATCACTGCACCCCTCCTTCAGCAAAATCTATGCATTTAATATCCAGGTACACCACATATTACAATTTTCCCAGAGATAAAGTGCTGAGGAAGCCAACCCCATGCATATTGGAGTCTCAGCTAAAACGTGAACCATCTATCAACTCCCTGTAGTGCTTGGATATTTTTTCCCCCCTGTCCTACATATTCCACTACAAAATTAGGCTGACAATAAAAAAAGCACCTGACCCACAACCCCAGAGCAAGATAACCCTAAGCCCGGTTCTGACATTAAACCCTCAGCTTCTCCATCATCTGAAATAGAGTTGTTCACTTAATACAGGGACTTTGAGAACTTCAGCTCTCTTTTCCTTCTCAAAACTTGAAGTTAAACTAAAGCCACAAGTTTTAAAGAAGTGCAGTGACAGTACTGCTACTCCATCCCTCACAGTACAGTCCTTTCTAAAATAGAATAGAGGGGCTGAAAGACCCCACTGCAGGGACATTTGGGGTCTTTTCCCAATGCAAGTGGCATTGGGACATCTGGGTGGGAAGTGTGCAGTGTGCTGATGTGAAACAGTGATGCTCTCCCTCCAGACACCACCAGCATTTTCATTATTCCCCTGTGAAGGGACTTTTAGGTCAGTCCAGAAAACTTTGGGGATGGTTATGAGCACAGAAATACACATTTTTGTGTTGGAAATATTCAAATCAATTAAGCTGAAATCCTACAGCAGGAACCAGACCCAGCTGTGAACAGAACCCGAAGCAGTTGGGCTTTCTTCCTCTTTTCCTCTTGGAGAGCTGATAAATGGATCCCCTGGAATCCATGCTCCCAAAAAAAAGGTGAGGAAATACTCAGAAGCTCTTTTATTAGGTCTAAAGCTGGCCCTAAGTATGCAATTCCCTGATTTTTCCTGAGGAAAAAATGGATATGTGCCTCAACAAGCCTGTACACAGAGATTAGGGAGGCTTAGAAGCGAGTACACAG